TCTCTATTCCTCCTTCCTCCCCACCCACGGGTTGAAAAGAACAGGGCTACTGGTGAAGGTCAACAGGACATGGGTTTGTTGTGGGTTCAGGACTGGGGCTAGCAGATGCAACTACCACCTGGAATTAGGGTGCAGTTTTATTTCCACTCCCTAGAACTGGGGATTGAGCCACTCAATATATCCCTAGCCTTCTTTCTTCTTATTTATTTTGAAATTGAACTTCACCACCTTGCCCAGTTGGTCTTGAAGCCATTCGGTAGCCTAGGTGGGCTTTGAACTTGTGATACACAGGCCCCAGCCTTCTGAAGTACTGGGGATGTAAATCAATTTTTGCCAGGCTTGACTGAACATATTTTCCAGCACCTGGTAAGGAATGTGGTTCACACAAGCTTGCTGGCTGTGCTTTGAATTTATTTCAGAATTCAAGTGGCAACGATGCCTTTAAACAGTGTCTTCTAACCCATGACCTTGGTATGTCTTGATTTATTTGGATCTTTATTCAATACTGCCCTATAAGCTTTCCTTTTCTCTCCAACAAGTCTTAATATCTTTGCTAAATATTTTGTGAGGTTATCGATAATATTCTTTATATCATGTGTTTTATTCATATTTTTCAATTACATTTTCTGCAGTTTCAGCTATATAGACAAAATACCACTCCTAAAGGCAGAAAGGCAGCAAAGTTCTTTTTGTCTCAGAAGACCTTCATTAGAAAAGACATCTATCTATGATGCCCTATTAGAATTAAAAAAATATAAATAACAGTCTACTTAGTCACCCCTTTCTTGAGACTTTGTCCAACAGGAATAAAAGCATGTGTCTTTAAAGATATACTCACAAAACATATGAGTGTTTATGGTTGTATTGTTTACAAGAATAAAAAGCTGGGACTAGAGTGAATGCTCACAAACATGGAAACAATTGAATACGTTAGACATGGTCACACAATGGAAGACTACACAACCATCAGTCTGAAATGAATTGCAGCTATTTCAGTGGACTTGACAAGATTCCAATGAAGTACTTACTGAGATCAGAAGAAGCAAATCTAAGCCAGGCAGTGGTGGTGTATACCTTAAATCCCAGCATTTAGGAGGCAAAGGCAGGTGGATCTAATTGAGTTCAAGGCTAGCCTGGTCTACAGAGTGAGTTCCAGGACAGCCAGGGCTACACAGAGAAACCCTGTTTTGAAAAACAAAAAAGCAAATCTGTTGTGATGATCTTGTGAAAATCACACCCTTGTGCATATGTTTATGCATACACAAACTATTGGCATATAGCAAGAAGAATTTAAAGAGTTGTGCACTTATATAAAATACATTTAATTTTTAAATTTTATTTAAATTAGAAACAAGCTTGCTTGACATGTCAATCCCAGCCCTCTCATGCTCCCCTACTCCCCTGCCCCCCACCAACCCACCATCCTATCCCCCTTCAGCTCCCCAGGGAGGGTAAGGCCCTCCATGGGGGAAGCTTCAAAGTCTGTCATATCATCCTGGGCAGGGCCTAGGCCCTCCCCCATGTGTCCAGGCTGAGACAGCATCCCTCCATGTGGAATGTGCTCCCAAAATCCATTTGTACGCCAGGATTAAATACTGGTCTACTATCCAATGGCCCATAGATTGCCGAGGTCTCCTCACTGACCCCCAGGTTAAGGGGGTCTGGGTCAGTCCCATGCTGGCCTCTCAGTCACCAGTTGGGGTCCATGAGCTCCCTCTGGTTCAGGTCAGCTGCCTCTGTGAGTTTCGTCAGCCAGGTCTTGACTCCTTTGTTCATCACTCCTCCCTCTCTGCAACTGGTTTCCAGGAGTTCAGGGAAATGCAATCAAAACAGCTTAGAGATGCCATCTCATTCCTGTCAGAATGGCTAAAATCAAAAACACCAATGATAGTTTATGCTGCAGAGGATGTGGAGAAAGGGGAACACTCCTCCACTGTTGGTGGGAGTGCCAACTTGTACATCCACTTTGGAGATCAGTATGGAGATTTCTCAGGAAAATGGAACTCAGTCTACCACAAGATCCACCAATTCTACTCTTAGGCATATACCCAAAAGATGCACATTCATACAATAAGGACATCTGTTCAACTCTGTATATAGCAACATTATTTGTACTAGCCAGAACCTGGAAGCAACCTAAATGCTCCTCAACTGAAGAATGGATAGAGAAAATGTGGTACATTTATACAATGGAGTACTACTCATTGGGAAAAAAAATGGAATCTTGAAATTCACAGGCAAATGGATGGCACTAGAAGACAGCATCCTAAGTGAGGTAACCCAGTCACAAAAAGACAAACATGGTATGTACTCACTCATATATGGATTTTAGACATGGAGCAGGGGAGTGCCAGCCTACAACCCTACCGCCAAAGAGTCTGGGAAACAGGGAGGGCCATAAGAGAAATATACATGGTATCCCAGAATAGGAGAATGGGACAGGATCTCCTGAGGGGATTGGAAACATGGGGTGAGGGGAGGGGAGAGCAAGCTTGGAGAAAAGAGGAGGGGAGAGGAGGACATGGGGGAGCAGGAAGGTTGAGTCAGGGAACCACTATAGGTTTGAGAAGAGATCTGACCCTAGGGAGATTTTCAGACATCTCAAAGGATGACACCAACTGGCAAACTAACCGATAGTAGAGAGGCTACCTTAAATGCCCCCCCATAATGAGATTGATGACTACCTTATATGACATTCTAGAGCCTTCATCCAGTGGCTGATGGAAGCAGAAGCAGACACCCACAGCTAAACACTAAAATACATTTAATTTACTAACTTGTGAGCATGGAGGAAGTCGGATGCTAAGGCTATTACAGAAATGGAAAGTGTAGCTCAGACACATCATTGTTTTATAGGTTTTTATGTCCTGAGCTGGACACTTCATCTTAATAATACTGTTTTAATGAAAAAAAGAAAAGAGAATGTTCTTGAAAGCTGAACCACAGGGTAATATGAGACGGTGACACAAATAACAAACCTCAATGAATAATTCAAATCATAGTTATTTTTTACTGAAGTGGGCAGTTTGAGATTTTCTCAAGGGCAGGGAAGTCTTCAGTCATATTTACATTTCCTCAGCAAAGTCCAGTCCCGGCAGGATGAATAGGCAGGGAAACACATACAAGGACATGCAAGCAGATGTTTGTCTGTGTACATGCATAAGTGTGCCTACACAGCAGATGCATGCATATATACATATACAATATGTGTCCATGGGCACATTGTATGTGGTCATATACTCACTGGATATCCGGTTTTCTGAGGAATCTGTCATTTGGTGGGATCAGTCTTTTGTGGTAATTTATTTATTTATTTAGGTTGTTTGAGAACAGGCTGACTTTGGATTTGTGATCCTCCTGCCTCAGCATCCCGAGTGCTGTGGGCTGCTTCAGCCTTAAGATGGGGGCTTGCAGGCAAACCTGTGTACTTGATCTGAACACCCTTGCCTGGTGTGTAGCTAATAAACAGCAATTGTGGATGTGTGTATGGGAGGGATTGGGGCAAGGGAGACGCTCCATGAAGGAAACAAGGGAACCACTCTTAGCTGTGCTTGGTGGACACACCCTGTTATATAGGGGAAGTGTACTCAAGAGGCCTCGGGGTGTCCTGAGTGAAGGATTACTTTGATTCTTCTTGCCAGTGCTTTAGTGAACTGTGCCATCCAAAAGGCTGTGGTGGTTTCCAGTCTGTGTTTTGGCAACACTCTGGTTCTTCTTTTCCAAGAATTTGACTGTGGATTTTTTTTAATTGAAGCATTGTCGTGCAATACAGGAGCTTTCTCTCCGTAGTTCCTCTTTGTGTGGTCAAGGCTCAGGGACAGCCAATTGTTGATAGTCATGTGACAAGCACTACCCTAGGATCCAGGGAGTCAAAGACAGGACAGGAACAGAGACATATGTATCTTTCAAATGATGACCAGGCTTGTCTGTCTGTCTGTCTGTCTGTCTGTCTGTCTGTCTGTCTGTCTGTTTGTCTGTGTATGCACATGTGGGGGCCACATTGCCTGACGTAGAGGGAACTGAACTTCAGTCCTCTGCAAGAGCATCAAGTGCTCTTAATTGCCATACTCAGGATTATCTTTAAGGGAAAAAAGAAGCTGGTATGTCAAGGCAGATGTGGAATGTTGATATTGCTGAAGGCTTCTCAGAGGAGGTGACAAACATAGGATGGATGTGAGTTCCCAGGCAGTTAGGAGGGTCATCAAGAGGAATGGGTTCTGCAGTAAAGAGGGTACAGCAAAAGTCCAGGATCTATCCTGGATGGCCAAGGAGGGGCAGGGGTACCTGGAAGGGAAGTGTAGTGGGGGCTCAGTGGAATGTGGAACCCAGGCTTTAAACCCTTGAGGACTAGGAGATACCCTCAAGGGTTTTGTTTGCTGTTTCAGAGTTTACCTGTCCCATGCAGATACTTGTGTATGTCACTGACTGACAGCAGAGTGGGTATATGGAACACTTGGTCAGAGATATTGATCTTTTAACTGACACAAATGGAAAGCACACACAGGCAGTGTCTTAGCGAGGGTTTCCACTGCAGTGAAGAAACATCATGACTATAGCAACTCTTATAAAAGAAAACATTTCATTGTGGTGACTGGTTTGCAGTTCAGAGGTTTAGTTCATTCTCATCATGGTGGGAAGCAAGGCCATGCAGGCAGACATGGTGCTATAGAAGGAGCTGAGAGTTTTTACATCTTTACTTACAGGCAACAGGAAGTAGTCTGAGACAATGGGCATGGCTTGATCATATAAGACCTCAAAGCCCACCTCCACAGTGGTATGTCCTCCAATAAGGCCATCCCTATTCAAACAGAGCCACACCTCATAATGTTGCCATTCACTTCTGGCGGCTACTTTTTTCAAACCACCAAAGCCATTAAGACAGTCTGTAAGTCTGGTCTGTAAGACAGTCCAGAGTGGTTTGCCATGGTTTATATAATCAGCAAGAATGGGAAATGTTTAACTCATATTTTTCTGGGCTGATGATATATTTATCCTTACAGGTGATACTCTCTGGAATCATTGGATTGACAACCTGGAAAAGGCCTATGATACTGCTGGTATGTACAGATCATATGAAATTACTCTTCATAAAACATGAAACACATTAAGTAAACTGTTGGAATTTTAAATGTCCTTGTTCATTAAAAAAGTTGACAGTAGATACTTTAGAAATAAATATTCCTATAATAATGATGGTGAAAGATGATAATCTTGATGGTCTATGTTTTGCTTTAAGTTCTGAATTCACCTAGAGTTATGCATATGTTTCTTGTTACAACATTACATTCATTCTGAAGATACTATTGAAAAAAATCTATTTAGAGCTAAGGAGATGGCTTAGTGGGAAAGAGTGCTTGCTGCACAAGCAAGAAAACCTGAGTTCAAAACCTCAACACCTACATACGAGCTGGTCATGGCCATGCATGCCTGTAACTCCATCATTGAGGGGTGGAGATAGGTGGATCCTGGGCACTAGATGGCTGGTTGGATTGTTTGGAATGGTAAATGTCGGGTTCAGGTCAAAATATAAGGTAGAGAGTGATGGAAGAGGACACCTGACATCCTCCTCTGGTTTCTATATACATGTGCACAGGTGCGCACACACCCTCCCAACCACACACACACGAACCCCCTACCGCTGTCTGTTCACTATGGATACAAAGGTGGAGGGAATGATATGATGAATTCACTGTTCCTGTTGTCCAGCTCTCACCTCCACCATGACTTTATTTTTCTTTGTCCCAAGCAAACCACATGTATTAACCACAAATATATAACTTTTTACTTTTCATTGTTAAAATAGTTTGGTTGAACAGCTTTGTAATTTTGTCCCTGAGATTTGCTACATTGTCTCTTTAACCCACACATGTTAATTTTCTTAATAATGCAGACAATAACTGATGTCTTTATCCTTCTTTTGCTGTTGTAGAGCTGCAATTAATGTCCCCAAAACAAACCATTCCCCAGTGTCCAATGGCAGTGCAAATGATCTGAATCTTTGTCCTTTATTTTTACCTGGTATGGGAGTTTAAGAGACAATGACAATAAACAGATAAATGGCAATAGAGTCTATATAACTGCCAAGAGTCTAGGAAATCTGACTTGCACTGCAGAGTATTTAAAAACATATTATACACGGTCGCTTTTCTTCTCACTTTTCTTTCATATCTCTTGATATAAAGTTTAATTATTTCTAGAAGTCATTTTTTAAAAAAATTGGTTTGTTTTATGTGTGTGTGTGTGGGTGGAGGTTAGAAGACAACCTTGGTGGCATCTTCAAGAACTCTTGTCTCCTTTGAGACTGTCTCTCACCGAATCTGGAGCTAACCAATTAGGCTAGAGTGGCGAGCCAGTGGGAGCCAGGGCCCTCCTGTCTTGCTTCTCCAGCACATGCCATGGTGTCAGCATTTTTACTTGGGTTCTAGCGACCAAACACAGGCCCTCATGCTTGCATAACAAGCATTGTATTGACTATCTTGCCAACTCCCATAGTCATACAGGGTAGGTTATGGGAAGCCACTTATGCATTCACTACATGGTGAAACAGCGTGGTGCAGAATAGATGTGTCAGAGTCATGGGTCTCTGCTTTGAGAATCTGGAACTCTAACATGTTTTCAGCTCCTCAAGTAACATAGGAAACATTCCGTAACCCCATCATTTACTGCCTTTGGTGAAGCACCTTTAAAATATTGGAAGGAATAAGTTATCAGTGGAGCATCTAATATGTTGGAAAGTATGACAGAAGGGAAGGAGGTGTTGGATGAGCCCGTGGCTCATAGCTGAGGTATGTTTTGCAGCAGCTGTTTGGGATTAGTCTGTGCAGGAAATTTTTAGATGGGTGGTGTTCTGTGTTTGTATTTGGCTAGAGGAGTGACCTTTGCGGTATCGTTTGCCGTTTGGTCAGTGTTAAAATACTCAAGTCTTTAAAGTGAATGAAGATTTTTTAAAAATCTCCCCTGATATTTGTATTCTAAAAATTCCAAATGATGAAAAGAATATGAGCATGTATCTTAAATAGAGTTCAAGAAAGCCCACACTTGAAGGCATTTATTCTTGAATTGTTATCATTTGGAAAGGTGGTTTATATATTGGTTATTGAGTATTAACAAGTATAGGTAAAAATTACCTTAATAAAAATCATTTTCCTTAACTGCTTTCTACTCTGTTTTTTCATCATTGTTAAAAAAGAAAAAAAAACTATGGTTTGTTGTAAAGTTGTATCCAATTTAGGGGTCTGGGAGATGACATGAATATCTGCCTTGGAATAGCTAATACACACATACAAAAGCTGGGCCTGGCTGTGCATGCCTGTAACCCAACATTGGGGGCAGATGTAGGCAGATCCTATGAACTCATTGGCCAGGCAACCTTGACAAAAGATGATTTTCCTATTAATTTGAGAGTCCCTGGTAAAGGCGTTATGACAGAGAGTGATAGAGAAAGACTCTGCTATCCTGCTCTGGCTTCCATGTGTATATACAGGAACACATGCACTAACACTCACATATATGTACAACACACACACACCACACAGAGAACATACAACACATACAACACCCAAAATGGTTGTAGCCAGTGTGCATGTATTGTCTTATGTCCTGTCTTTTCAGTTTACTATGAATTAGTATCAGTTAATATTGTTTCTCCAGGTATCACCCATTATTGCTAAACAGCCGTCTCCTGTGTTTCCATTGCATCATTAATTTTTATCATATATTTAGGCATTTGGACTTTTATATTGTAGTGGTAAAAGATCATGTAGAGATTGTCACTGGGCCGATTAGTTTTTGCCAACTTGATGCAAGCAAGTGGCATCTGGAAAGAGGGAACTTGAATTGACAAGATGTCCCCATCAGATTGCCTTGTGGGCATGTCTGTGGGGCATTTTCTTTATTGATGATTGGTGAGGGAGCTCACTGTGGGTGGTGCTACTCCTAGGCAGGTGGTCTTAGGTGCTATAGAAAGCAGATTTAGCTAGACATGAGGAGCAAACCAGTTAGCAGTGTTGCGTCATGGTCCCTTACCCAATTCCCGCTTCCAGAAACCTGCCCTGACTGCTCTTGGTGATGGGGTGTGATCTGAGAGGCATAAGCTGAAATAAATCCAACTCCCAAGTTGTTTTTGGTCAGCATTTTGTCACAGAAAAAAGCAAAGTAGGCCAGACATAAAATGTTAATCAATATTAACTTCTAATAAATGACCTTTTAAGGATCTGTACTAGGCAAGATTCAGTCAGTCAATTGATACATTAAGTCTCAGTCACAATACTACATTAAAAACTTGGGCTTTACATGAATCTTAGTAATGTAACACTATATACAGGTGTGGTGATGCCTGTCTGTAATACCAGCACTTAGGCTGAGGCAGAACTGTGGAAAGTTCGAGGCCTGTCTACACTGCATAGCAAGACTTCCTCTCACAAAGGTAACCAGTGGCTGAGAGATGGCTTAGTGTTTCTTACCAAGCACTCAACTTCAGTTCCCAGTACCCACATCAGGTGACTCATAGCTGCCTGAAACACCAGCTTTATCGAATCTAATCTCTTCTTCTGGCCTTTGCAGGCACCCTCTCTGGCCACACACCCATCACACACTTGCATGTACCCACACATGAAGATACACACACATACATGATTGAATAAAATAAAAATCTTAACAAAACTCTATCAAACAAACACCCACCCACACCCACTGTAATAACTGCATTAAATACATTATGTTAAGAAATAAAAATGTGTGCAGAGAGAAACCAGAAGTGCCATCAGATGTGCCTTGGCTCCTGCTATGACCTTTGTGGAGCGTAGTTTCTTCTGTACTGGGGGGGGGAAATAATTTGGGATATTAGGAGCGACTTTCCCATCCCCCCCCCCCCCGTTGCATCCTCCCTTGCTTCCTGAGTGCTGGAATGTGTCAAGGGCTAATGTTGAGGAGAGGCCTTGTTCCATTAGAGAGGCCAGCAGTGCCTTTTGTTGTTAATTTTTCAAGACAGGGTCCCATGTAGCCCAGGCTAGACTTGAACTTCATTTGTAACTGAGGCTGGCCTTGCTCTCTGCACACCCCTGTCTCTGAGTCCCAGTGCTGGGATTTTAAGAATATTCCAGTGCACATGCTAGGGCAGTGTTTTGCAGATCTTGGCTCAGATGCCCAGGCGTGTCACCGCCTAGCTTTAGCCCTCCTATACATACTGGGCACTGTCTGCCTTGGGTCTTTCTTCCCCAGCCTAGCGCGTGGCCGCCGCCTTCTCCCTTGACTTTCCACTCACACCCTAAAGAAGGACTGGCTACCCAAAGACTGGGTCCTGTTCCAGAACTGAGTGTAGTAACTTAGCCCTAGACCATCGGAGGCCGTCTGCTTAGCCTGAGGACTGTCTGCTTAGTGTTTCTCATTTGTCTTTCCAAGAGACGGTTAGGTGAAGACAGGAGCCTTCCCAGTGCCCCCATCCATCTCTACGGCCAGTTCCAGGTCACTCATATGCTTTTGTGGCTATGTGGAGGTTGGGGCAAGGTTGGCCCATGCCCAGCCCCTTGTGAGGCCAGCTGTCCTCATTTTCAGTTGGGTTCACACCAGCCCGGACCACGTGAGTGTTCCTCTGTAAGAAGCAGTTCTTTTGTGTACCCTCCCCTGTGATGGTCTTTGTGATAACTCCAGGCTGTTTATCAGCCTGAACAAAGGAGGGTCGGTTTGCTCCAGTTCCTTCAAACTCAGGTCTTCATGAAAACCCAGAGCGCCATTCGTTGAATCCTTTTCTTATATTGGAAGAGTGCTCACATGTTCTGTACAGTAATAACATTGGAAAATAGGTTTTAAATACTCTTTGTTGTTACTAGGGCCGAGCATGTGCCTTTGTGTAGTGGTCTAGGCTGAATATTTTTCTCAAAAGTCTACCATTTTCCATGTTTATGATGTATTCTTATTTTTATACTGTTTTTTCTTTTCTGATTTTGCCAAAAATGTTATGTAATTGTTTAAGAATTAGCCTGTTCTAGAAGTGGCCTCAAAAATTGTCCTGTGCAGGTACCTCAGTTAGTAAATGGGATTGTCTTAATTACATGTTTTC